AGCCTCCGGTGGCCTGGACAGCAGTACCTGTCACCACGCCTGGCTCCTCTTTCCTATTCTACTCTGCCTCCTGCAGGCCGGCTTTAACCCTGGCCCATTTTTGGTGGGGGGACTGGGGACTGAACGCAGGGGCACTGGACCCCTGGGCCTCACCCCAGCCCGCTTTAGAAATTTATTTAGAGACAGGGTCTCACTGAGTTGCTGAGGGCCTCGCTTTTGCTGAGGCTGGCCTCCACCTTGTGATCCTCCTGCCTCAGCCTCCCGAGCGGCTGGGAGGACAGGCGTGGCCAATGCGCCTGGCTAGCCCTGGCCCACTTCTCCTTTCATGTGCAGCAGGGAGCGTGGAGTGGGCCCCCCTGCCCTGGGAAGGAGAGGATTCTAGGTCAGGGAGTTATTGGGACTTTTCCCACAGGGACATAGATGCTGTGCTGTCTCGGGCCAACGCCACAGAATTTGGCCTGGCCTCCGGTGTCTTCACCCGGGACATCAACAAGGCCCTGTACGTCAGTGACAAGCTGGCGGCTGGGACTGTGTTCGTGAACACGTACAACAAGACCGACGTGGCCGCCCCCTTTGGAGGATTCAAGCAGTCTGGATTTGGCAAGGACCTGGGTAATCTCACCTGCCGGAGAGCTGTTTTCAATTATTCACTCAACAAACACTTGCAAAGGCCCGACCTGGACAACGTGCTGGGGTACCTCAGTGTAGCCAGACGGCGGTGAGGTCACTGCTTCTTCCTGGGAGAGAGGCAGCCTAGGAAGGGGACCAGAAAGGCACCTTGCAGAGCAGATGTAGCCCCGGGCAGGGGCTTAAGGAGACCTGGGTGGCCTTAAGAACAGGAGCCATGTTCAGGGAACAAGGCTCAGAGGCCACAGGGTTGGTGTGGGCAGAGGCCGGAAGATGCAGGCCTGAAAGGCAGGACCACAGGGGGACCACAGGGGCCATTAGAGACTCAGTCCTCGTCCACTCATTCCTCAGGACATCCGGGGTAAGGCGAGGGGCCTCCCAACCTCACAGCCCCAGCCACTTACGCTTTGGCATCCCCCACGACAGTGGGTGGCCGCGTGGCCCAGCAGCCTGTGGTGTCTTGCAGGAGAGGCGGCCCTGAATGAGTACCTGCGGGTCAAGACGGTGACTTTTGAATACTGAACAGAAGTGGCCTTCAGAAGGACGACCTGTCCTTGCAGCACCCCTTGTCACCTTGACCTGCCTTCCCTAGGGAGGCCAGCTCAGCCTCCCTCCCAGATAGGGAGCCTCGCACCTGGAGCCGCTGCAGGAAGTCCCCAAGCTGGCTCCCGACCAATCACAGTGGCCCTTGGCCAAGGGGGCGGGGCCTGCGGGGCTAATAAATGTCAGCAGAGGTGACCAGCACCTTCCCTGTGTCCGCGTGGGCTACTGGGCCACCAGGGGAGTCACGGAGTCACCCTGAAGCGTGGGTGTGGTCAGCTCAGGCTCCCAGATGGGTGCTGAGATGGACTCAGGGGTGCAAGAGCTTAGGGTGACGCTGGGAAACGTGCCCAGGAGGAAGCGGGACTGCAGAAGCGCCCTTTGCTGGGGAACAGCTCCTGTGCTTGGCCAGGACCCCGAGGCCCCCGCCCACCCACTCACTGGGGACAGTCAGGCTGCTGTCATTGGCCCCTCGCGTGTTGGGCGTCTGTCCCGGTTTCCCCGAGGCCCAGGGTGCTCCTTGCATGGGGAGCCCCTGGGCTCTCCCAGCTGCACCCATCCTGCGGGTCCCCAGCACCAACGCCGCCTGCCCCTGGGGCCAGCCTCCCACAGCGGTCTCCTCGGCATCCCAGCCTCACACCCCCGGTCCTCCCTGTGTCCACGCCTCCCAGAAAGTCCCTCTGTCCTTCCCAGGCTGCTGGCCCTGCTGGGCACGGCCAGTGCCTCCCTAGGAGCACTTCAGCTCCACCTGTAGCTCGCTGCCCTGCAGCCCGCGTCTTCGCCAAGCCCCACTTGGCCTTTCTCTCCTTAAAATGACCCCCGGAAAGAGAAAGCTCTTTAAAAAAGGAAGTGGACTTTGACGGAAGCCGGCTTCGGGGGTGCGGGGACCCCCGCGAAGGCCTCAGCCCCGCGGCTAGAGCTCTCGCTTTGGGTCGCCCCGCCCACCCGAGTCCCCGCCCCCAGCCGCGTAGCCCCGCCCCTTCCCTGCTTCTGGCTCCTGAGGCCCCGCCCCTTCCCGCTCTCCAGCCCTCAGCCACGTGGACCCACCTGCTTCCCGTGTTTCCGGCCCCAGGGACCCCTTGCCTTTTCCTGCTCCCCGCCCCCCAGATGTGGCCCCGCCCTCTTTCCTGCTTCCCGCCCTCAGCCGCGTGG